CTCTGGCGGACAGGAAGAATCGACTCAAGAACCAGCTCACTCTGCCAACGAAAGCTGCGGCTCTGGGGACACTAGAGTCGCTTTTTGGAAGTGGTGATATCCGAGTGAGCTCAAGGGCTCTGCTGCACGGCTACCTCTTCTACGAGCCTGCGCTGTGGAAGTTCCTGTGCACAACGAGCAGTGACTTTCGAGGCAGCGCGTATGGAGACTCGACCGTGAACTCTAGGCACTGGAAAGGCTGGTGGATGGACGTGGAAGGATTCCAAACTTTCGCGTCGGCTCCAGAACGCGCGACGAGCAAGTGGTACATCGTTCCAAAGATGGAGTGGCTTTCTCCGGTGGTGATCCATGAAGACGAGGAGAGGTTTCTATACGGCGCGCTCAGCAGCGATGGACTGGTGGATATGGCTGCCAAAGTCGCCGAGGAAGCGAGCAGGATGGACAGGGACAGGATGAGACGCTTCATGGTGGCGGAGATTTGTCGGCAAAGCGATGAGTGTCACTGGATTTGGAGTGAGACGAGCAGGGGTTTTATCGTCGAGGATTCCTGGCCGGATACCAAAGCTTACAGTCCTCACGGCTTCGTTATGTCTTGGGGTCTGTGAAGCTGGAAAAGAAGAAGAGTGGAAATCCGCTACTCCATCCATACGATGTTCACAAGAGCTTGGAAGATTTCCGATGCTTGGAGATGATCACGAGAGTTTGGAAGTTTTCCGAAGATCACAAGAGCTTGGAAGTTTTCTTTTTGCTGCTGGATGATTTGATCAACCAAGAACTCTCTCTTTTTACAGTTCGAGCAGCAAAGTTTTTGATCTTTGGGAAAGATTCCACTGGCTGAAACGCACTGAAAAAGTCCTCATTATAATGTAACGTGGGAGGAATGATGAGCTGGATCCAACGGCCAGCGAGGCTCCACGTTCCCGCCATTTATACCGGGCTAGGGTTTTCTCCTCCTGGGCCGGCACGCGACGGGATGATCCTCCATTCGAGCTCGTAGATCTGAGGCGCCGCGCTCCTCCACCAATTCCCGAGCTGATCAATTGGAGCGCGCGCCTCGCGGATCCGAATTTGGTGGAGGAAACATGGCGTTCGCAGTGAGGCAGCAAAAATGTAAGTCTTGCGAGAAGACAGTGTATCTGGTAGATCAGCTAAGCGCCGATGGGGTGCTCTATCACAAGGCGTGCTTTCGATGCCAGCATTGCAAGGGAACGCTCAAAGTAATGTTTTTGGCCATCGTTTTCCCATTTCTTCTCCTTGTGAATTTTTTTTTTTTCCTTTTCAGCTTAGCAACTATGCATCGTTGGAAGGCGTCTTGTATTGCAAGCCACATTTGGAGCAGCTCTTCAGAAAGACTGGAAGTTTTGACAAGAGTTTCGACAGCGGTAAAGTATTTTTCTTGATGAAGAAAAATGGCATTCTTATGGTGTTGCTTTCCTTCCACTCTTTTCCTTTGCAGTTGGAACGCCGAAAAATTCGCTCAAACAAGAACGTGAACGTGAAACGGTTCGTCTTAGTCGTTCGTGACTTTAGACATGGAAGAAAGAAAAGCTTCACTGAAAACGATAACTTCTCCTTCTGTGCAGGTCCCCTCGAAGCCAGTCGTGAGCAAGCTGAGTAGATTGTTTTCTGGAACTCAAGAGAAATGCGTCAGCTGCTCCAAGACGGTGTACCCTCTCGAAAAGGTGAGAAAGAAACTTCGAGAAAAGCCGTGGAGCTAAAGCTTTTCTCTGCTGGTTTCCAGGTTAGTGTGGAGGGTCAATCTTATCACAAGTCTTGCTTCAAATGCACGCACGGAGGTTGCGTAATCAGCCCCTCAAACTACGCAGCCCTGGAAGGTATGCTGTATTGCAAGCACCACTATTCACAGCTCTTCATGGAGAAAGGAAACTATAGCCAGCTTACCAAAGCAGCGTCGATGAAACTCCCGGCCAAAACGGAGTTGTGAGTGACGATTTGATGATGCGACTGGGAAGACTGGAGCAGGGATTTGGAGATGAGTCGCTTTAATCCATTTGAAGGGGCCTCGGATTTGTTTGGTAAGCCCGATTCGTGCGTAGCTTTCTTCTACTCTCTTTTTCCTGTTTGTCTTTCGCGATAATTGTCCCCCTATAGATTATGACAGACACTCAGCACATTGAGCGAAGAGAAAAGAACGAGAAAAAAATATTTGCCGAGATCTCACAGCTGTGGTGTACTTGTCACTTATTTATTTTGTGGAAGTTTCCATCTAAAACACAATAAAGAGATTGGTGTGTAGGACGGGACACCTGTCAGATGAATGAATGTCTAGTTTGTGAAGTCTACGTCTTGGCTTTAACTCTTATTGACTAGCTGTGGATTTTAGAGCGTGAGACTTGGTCGAGAGGCATAGTCTATTTCTCTTTTCATTTGCAAAGGTAGATATAGAAACGTAACCGCTAGCTTGGTCGTGATCAACGCGTGTTTGTGGATTTTTTTTACAGACTTTGAAGACTTGCCACTGTATATAAACCACACACTTTCCTCTGGCAGATTTATCATCTCTCTTCCATCACAACTCGTTCGCTCGTTTCTTTCTCCTTTTCGCTCTTCTCAGTTTCCGGAGATCATCTTTCCTTTGGTCTAGATCTTGATCTTCTTGCGATGGAGTACAAGAAGTTCATAGTGGTGGTGATGATCTTGGGCGCTGTCGCAGGGAATGTGTTTGTGAGTGCCGCCGACCCCGACCCGCTGCAAGATTTCGACAGCCCGGGAGCTCTCAGCGACTTCGTGCTGCGAGATGTGTTCAAGAATGGCGACGTGAGCAATGGACCTGGTGGCCTTCGCGCCGCGATCAACATCACACTCTTCCCAGGAATCGAGTACTTTGTCTTCCGCTTTGCCTTTCGTTCTGTTAGCTCGAGTTGATGGAGGTTGTCCTTTGTTTTGCTTGCAGGTCCCAGGGGATAACTTATGTACACTTTAACATGGTTCCCTGTGGAGTCAATCTGCCACACACGCACCCTCGAGCATCAGAGCTCCTCACATTGGTCTCTGGCGGGCCTCTTCAAGTTGGATTCGTGGATACAGCCGGTACGAAATCTCTCTCTCTCTCTCTCTCTCTCTCATGCCGTGATTTTTTCCAGGAGTACCACGCATCAACCTTTTGCACCCGGGCGATCTCACGGTTTTCCCGCGAGGAACGATGCACTTTGAGATCAACGTTGGGACCAAGCGTGCGTTTTACATCTCGGCCCTCAATAGCCAAAACCCAGGAACTCTGGTAAACAAAAAAGCTTCGCACGTTTTTACAATGTTTTCTGATCCTGTTCTTTTTTTTATTATTCTTTCGTGTGTGTGTAGACAAGTGGTGGTGCTCTCTTGATGATCCCGGACAGGTCCTCTGCAACCGCGCTTAACGTAGGGCTGGACATGATCCGGAAGCTCAAGGAGAATATGCTGCCATACACCCCGCAGCTCGAGTTGGCCCCGCCAGCTGTGTGCGTTCCCGGGCGAGACATCACCACCAAGATTTAAAGAAGTTTTTTGTCCTTGTTTTTTACATTGTCATTAAAATAAGCTTTTTTGTCTCCATCTTTTTTTTGAAGCTGCCTTTTTTGCAAATTACTATAAACAAATCCTTTAGGTTTTCCTAACTACTCATTTTTTCGAGTGATGGCAGAGTATGTGTGGGCAAGTGACGCGAGGTTGCTAGGCGCTGGAGCGGACGGAGAGGTAAGGGTTGGGTTCCACCAAAAGACTGGAGACAAAGTAGCCATGAAGAAGATGTACGAGCACGAATACCTTTACGATACCATCATCAACGAGTCGGAGATCCTGGAAGAGGTAGCGCACGACAACGTTGTCAATCTTCTTGGGTTGACCTGCAACAACCAGGGGACATTCACGGTGATGGAGCTCATGGACGGGAGTTTGCGCGATGTGATCTTGGCGCAAGCTTGGCGAGCACGACATCAAGGCCGTGATGCGCCAGATCCTGGAGGGCCTGGCGTGGATTCACGCGCACAGAATCGTGCATCAAGACATCAAGACGAGCAACGTTCTCGTCAAAAGGGATGGAGAGAAGAATAAGTTTGTGGTGAAACTGGCGGACTTCACTACTGCGAGGAGGCTGCAGACACGTCCCTGGTCAAACAAGGTCGGGACCCTAACGTTTAACGCTCCGGAGCTTCTCAAGGGTGCCACCAGCTTTGGCACCGCAATCGACGTGTGGAGCGCCGGGTGTATATTCGAGGAGATGCTCCTGGGTAGCAATCCCTTTGACGTGCCCGACGAAGAGGATGGAGACTCGCTCAACTATTTTGTGGCTGATTTTGCCAAGAAGCTGGACATCGATGGCTGTGGCATGGGCTATCAAGACAGGCGCCGAGAACGAGCACGCGAGAGGATCTTGCAGAAGATGGCGTGGTGGAAAGCCGAGGACGTCAGAAGCAGAATTAAAGACCCCAATGCAGTGGAGCTGCTCAAGAGGATGCTGGCGATTGATCCAGCGAGGAGGATCTCGGCACAAAACGCCTTGAAGATGCCATATTTCCAAGAGAAGGCCGAGGACACAATTGTGGAAGCCAGGCGAATGCTTCCGACAATGACGATTGCGAGTGGAAACTTGAGGCCAGCTTGGCTTAAAATCAACAACACAACCCCATCAATAGCTATAATGTAAACAATGTTTGTGAAAAATTGCAAAACATTTTATCTTTTTCTCTAAGTAGATCATATAAAAACTTAATCATGTTCAAACAATGCTAAAGACTGTAAAGTTTTTGCAAAACTTTATATTCCTTTTTCTTGGCAAAAAGAATAATTCAAGAGAGGGGATCTTAAGATTCATATCAAAAATCTTTTGTATTGTTTGTAAATGATGAACCACTTGTGTTACCGTTGATGGTGGTGGTGACCCTGGAGATGGTGGTAACGAGCGCCACCACGGGAGCTATTCACAGCACGAGCACGACCACCATGACCAGCAGCATTAAGTACTATATCTTCCAAACCATGGCGGCGGGGCGGGCGGCGCCGCTGCTGCTGCTGGGCTCCCGCGCCGCTGGGGCAGAACTCGATGGCGTATCCAGCCCCGGACGCGCAGGTGAAAGTGCTGCTCAGGTCGTCATACGCGTAGCTGTAGGCCTGGGGGCAGTGCTGCTTGAAGATCCGCGAGTACTGCGTGGGCGAGCACGACTGGGACTGGCTGTGCGCGCCACGGCAGCAAAACGCATCCGTCTGGAACGCCTCGCAAGCGCTCTTGCAGCCGACGACGCGGCCATGGATCGCCACCTGGAGCTCGCGCGGGCAATTGGCGTTGACGTCGCTGTGGCAGCCCACCGCGGGGCAGCGCGCGTCCGAGGGCGTGACGCGGACGGGGAGATTGTAGCCATCCACGAGAGAGACGTCGTAAAAGTCGCGGGCGTCGTAGCCGTTGAGCTTGAACTCGGTGAGCGTCACGGGCGGTATGCCGCCGGCGGCACCGCAGGCGAGGGAGTTGCCACAGTCGCCCGTCTGGCACGTACCGCGGCCGGTGGCGGTGTCGAAGAGGCAGCCCGTGCGGCCCCAGAAGCGGCCGCCCCAGCCGCGCGGTACGTCGAGCTGCATGGACTGCATGGACTCCAGCTGGGCGCCCAGCTGGGGGAGCTCGCCGCCCTCGCCGCTGATCCACCCCGGCCACACTGGGAATGGGCACGAGTTGTTGATTGCGATCGTCACTGCCCCTGCGAGAAACAATCCATTAGGCTCGGCGCATGGAACTAGGAAGGGACACTCGATCAATCCGGGCGTCATGAAATTCTCTCCTCGGATCGCAATCTTGAAGAAGAAGCGGGAACAGAACCAAGATCGAGGATTTCTTTGCTTTTCTTTGCTTTTTCCTCTCGGCCAAGAACAAGAAGGATGGGCATTGTTTACCTGCATTGTGGAGGGCGATCGAGAGAAGGACGAGGAGGGCGGTCGCCGCCATCGACTCCATTGGATCGAGCTGCTCTTTCGAAGCTCGCCGCGCTCGCTGGGATGAGGAGAGAGAGGATGAGATGATCTTGGGCGCCCTTTAAGGCGAAGGCCAAGAAGTGTCAACAGACAAATAGATGGGTAAAAATTAGGCTGTGAGTCGGTCGGATGGACGGGCAGGTCTTTTATAGTCAGCGCATTGTCTTTGACAAAAGGCCGTGGTGGTGCGTTGCTATTTCTTTCATGGTTCCAGCGTGATCAAACTAACTATAACAAAAGGCCTTGATCATTTGAAACTTTACCCCCTTCCAAAGCAAAAGTATAAACGTCCAACATAAACTCTCAAGTAATATTCTAACTAAAAGAGAACTTCTAAATTTTTTTAAAAGTTAAGAAAAAAATGTACTCTTAATCATGAGTCTTAAACCTTTAAATTTGAACTTAAAGTTGTGTTATATATATCTATTTTAATATAATAATTAGACTAATCACGTATACTACATTATTTCCAAATAAGTTAAATGGTATTAATATAGTATTTTAAATGTTTTGTTATTTGCTCTCCCTTTTTTTAATTAAGGTAATTAATAGTTGATATTATAGTGAGATTAATGCTTGAGATATATCTTTTAAGATTTATGATGAAATGGTTTTATTTTCTTATTGGAGAATGCTATGTTGATCTAATTATTTTTATTAAAAAATCATAAACTAGTAGTAAGTTTTATGATATTTTGTAATTTTTAACTAATAAATGAATTTCTATCACTATAAGATTTATTTCAAACATTTTAGAATTAGTCAAAACACAGAAAAAACCTCCTTAATAAGTAGTGGTAAAATATAATGAAGCTAAGAATAACAAACATCATCCCTTAGCACTTTATATTTTTTTTATAATTAGGGAATATTCTTATTATTTACCAATATGACAGTAGAATATTTTAACAATTTGTTTTTTTTCTTGTGTTATCAATAACACTATCACTATGATTAGTGACACTCAAGAACTTTTTGGTATAGTATTTTGAATAAGTGGATCTTTAAAAAAAAAATTTACTGTTTTGTTTGTATGTCTCTGAACAAGTTAAACAAAATTAAACTTTACTTAAACTTATAAATTTTAAAACAAAAAATTCAAATATTTATTAATACTTTTGGATTAGATATTTCTTCTTGGTTGCATGTCTGCATCATTCTTTCTCATAAGCATTATAAGTGGTAAATTTAATTTTTAAAAGTTTTTATAAAAGTATCTATATTAAAAATAAAATAAGTTTGATATTTGGTTTTATCAAATAAAAAAATGTGCTTAAAGTTGATATAATAATGATTGGGAATATCTTCAAGTTGAGTAACAATTTTTTACTTTTAACTTAGCTAAAAAATAAAAATATTTTGAGTGAAGAAAAATATCGATTGTCTTTATGATGATAATAAAGTTTAGTGAAAGTTTGAAGTTTGCATCTATTTAATGACTTTGTATTAATAATAACTATTGAACTCAGTGTTTGAGTATTATTTCTAGAGCTATGAAGTTTTTAATTTATTAATCTGTATGATAGAATAAAGATGAATATACTAGAAAGTGTTTATAATTTTAGGAATATACGTTTGAATATCCTAAGATATCTATATATATTCTAGGTATATTCAGTACTTATGACTATTTTTAGATAACAAAAAAACTAAAGCATCTAACAGAAAACTCCCAGCCATTGATACATTTTACCAGCCATGGAATATTCTTGTGGAAGTTAGTCATGTGATTCAAGGACATAGAATTTATGACTGCCGGTCCACCATCCACCATTGTTGCTTTGTTTGAATTGCTTGGAAATTGTGCTGGGTAGCTTCACTCTACCTGGCAAGAGACTGGTTTGTATCCAAAAAATCCAGCAGCAGCACGAGACTTGAGTTTGTAGTTGAAACTCCATTTTCTGTGTTCAAAGACGTCAAACAGAGAGCAACTGTTGCAGGGGTGCTGCATTACGAAGAAAGCTTCATTTCAGAATGTCCTTAAATCATTGTGGTGATGTCTCGGCCAGAAATGCACATGGCGGGCGGGGCCAACTTGAGGCGGGGGATATATGACAGCATATTTGCCTTGAGCTTCCATATCATGTCCAGTCCTACGTTGAGCGCCGGCAGAGAACCTGTCTGGGATCTTTAAGAGAGCACCACCACTTGTCTACACACAAAGAAATGGAGTTAAAAAAACATAGAGAATAATGAGAAAACTTGCAAAGTTTTTGTATGGCTGTTGAGAGCTGAGATGTAGAATGCAGGCTTGGTGCCGACGTTGATCTCAAAGTGCATCGTTCCCTGCAGGAATATGGTGATATCACTTGGGTACAAGAGGTTGATGTGTCTCTCTCTCTCTCTCTCTCTCTTTCTCTCTCTCTCACACACACACACACACACACACAGATCGGTCGTATTTCCTACCGGTTGTATCTACAAATCCAACTTGAAATAGCCCACCAGAGACCATCGTGAGGAGCTTGGAAGCTCGAGGGTGCGTGTGTGGGAGATTGACTCCACAGGGAACCATGTTAAAGTGGACATAAGTTATCCCTTGAGACCTGGAAAAAAAAGAAAGTAAAACCATGAATGGATTATTTATTGTGGTATCAAGCAAAGGCAAAGAGGAAGAAATATACGTGATTCCCGAAATTGCTGAGACCCCTGGATCCCTCGAAATCTCGCAGCAGGTCAGGGTCGGCAGCACTCATAAACACGTTGGTGGCGGCAGCACTCAGGATCGTCACCACCAGCATCAACTTCTTGGATTCCATCAAAGAAAGATTATGTCGATGAGATTATTAGACTTCGAGAAGACTGTGAAGAGCTCCGGCTAAATTCCTTCTATGACAAAGTCGTTAGAGAGTTTGATCAGAATACGGTTTTCACAGAGCCATTCTAGTCAGGAAAATTACAGTTTAACTATCAAACGACTTCACAAGAAATTCAAGCGTCATCCTCCATCTCTGTGTCTTCATCTTGTGTGTCAAAGTCGTCCTCATCATCTTCCTCGACTTCCACTGCAAAGATAACTCAACAGTTGGTGACTAAACGAAAGAAGGAAACGAAGCTTACGTCCATGGCCGACTTTGCAATCACCACATATCCAGACCTCCTCGTTTCTGTAGCTTGTACATCCCACGTGGTACCAACTGTTGCAGAAGCTGCAAAGCACTTCCTCCGGAGTCTTGTCTTTGCCACATTGTCGACAAAACATGTCCACTTTGCCTCTCAGTTCTTTGACCCGCTCATCAATAGAGCTCAACGCGTAGTGCAAATCTCCGAATAGCGTGAACACTTCCTCGTAGTCTGCTTCCTTATCCTCAGGGACGTAAGCGGATTCTTCAAGGTCGGAAAGAACCCAGACGAGAACCTTTCTTCTGGAGTTCCCTTTAAAGATCTTTTTTGCGACTTCTTTGGTGTGACGGTGAAGCTTCACGGCATCTTTAGCAACGCTTATCTGGAAGACGATGAGCACCTGCTGGTCGGCATAATACACATCGGCTCCAATGTGATTGTAGTTCTGGTTCACGAAGAGCGTCGGACTTCTACTCACCTTTTTCAAGCTGACCATGGATCGCGTCATCTTGTCAACGGGCACAACGTGGAGATGGTGACTCAGTGTCACATTGGCCCCTGTTATGTCGACGTTGAGAAGCTTCAGGGCAAGTATTGTGGCTTCCTCAGCATTCCACCCAATGG